CTCTCTCCCTTTCATATGTGTGCATGCAACCTCAAGCATTAAAAAAATTAAACAGAGAAATAACAAGAAAATGGCCTATCTATACCTAGCAACAACTAAGGAAAGAAAGAATTATCTAGAAAGCATAAAAAATAGAGTATAAAATGACAAAATGGATACTGAATGTATTAACTCACAAAATAAAAGTTGCTAGACTAAATTATCCTTTGAAAGCAAAGGTTCTCAGTGTCACTTAAAAACACCCCAAATTCAGCTCTATTCATTAATTTCTAGCCCCAACCATATACTTTCCAAATTTAATCTTTTTCTGTAATACTCCTTCCCAGCCCCACCCCGAACTCACCACCTTCTCACACAATAATTTACACCTTGCTCATTGAAGGCAAAATTCTTTTCTTTCTCCCGTGAATACATCCAAAGTGCCTAGTCATAAGACATTTGAGTGAGTGGATGAATAAATTGCTACTTCTGTCTCATAATAGCCATGTCTTAATGCTCTTTAAAAAATGTTTATTGAGAAAGAGCAGTATCCTTGAAAGGGTCCCACCATGTGATCCCCTTGCCCCCACCATAATCTTCCCACCAGCCAGGATCATGGGCATGCCCAGTGCATTCAGTTCGGCCTGGGATGTTAATGCCTGGACTTCTCATATGATGTAGTATCAAGCCTGGAATCCCATCGTCTGCACCACCATAGTTGGCACATAACTTTTTGAACATTTTTTTACTTTTAAAAATAATTTATTTAATTTTATTCATTATTATTATGTTTTAATTTTCCTCAAGGGATGTTGAAAGAGAGACAGTGAGAAAGCAAGTTGTGAGCTCTAGGACTTGAACTGGGATCAGCTGGAGTCCAGCACCTTAACCACACTGTCTGCTGCCCTCCCCTTTCTGAACTTATACTAGATTTATGAACCTGTATAAATCTTCATTTCTAAGAAGGGATAATCATATTTCACGGGATTATTGTGAGGATTAAAAAGACTAATACAATTGCACATTTATAAGAGCTTTACTACTTAGTAACTGTTCAGTAATGAGTAACTATTTACTGATACATAGCATCTACGCAGTAATATTTAGACTTCACATTTTTAAAAAATCTATTTGTTTGTTGTGATTTTCAAGCCACTGTTCAGTCCAGGACTCGAACCAAAGTTGACTATTGGGAATCCAGCATCTTAAATACCATGCCACCTGCTAGTTACACTCTATAACTTTTTTAAAAAGAGCTTTCTTCTGGATCTTCCATTAGATTATGTTCATGAATATACTATTTCTTTGACTTTTAAGAATATGTTTCTTTTACTTTATTTTTAATTCCTTCTTTTCCTTCTCATTTTCATTATTATAAGTCCTATGCTGGGTTTTTCTATTATCTTTATACAAGTTTAACACCACAATCAAAATTTATCTTCACAAACCTTGGTCCTTTTCTATGTTCTTTGTTGTTTGGTATGTGTGAACACTGAATTCTGTTCTCAAGGCTCTTTCTCCAGGACAGGTTTATGTGCATCTACTCTTTATGGATTCTTTCATCACTTCTCTAATAAATGGTATATTCACTTACAATCACTCATTGCTGGCTTTTCTATATTCTAATTTATTGTATGTGTGCTAAGCGAAACTCCTAGCACATACTGTACTGCTTACTGTGTTTTTCACGCTGCTGCCCCATCACTGCTTTGATCTGGAGAGCTTTACTGACAGGAATTGCACCTCTCCAAATGCCAATCTTATTCCCACTGGTGTCATTGTCTAAGTGCCTCTTCCCTCACTACCCTCACCCGAACATACATGTACCACACAAATAGACACTTCCTCCCCACTCTTGCCTAGTTCTGTGAGTTCTTTACTCTAGAATTAGAAAGTTGGAAGTAGGAGGGAAGTTACATTTTGCTTTTGTGTCTTCACAAAAACCAGGTTTGGAGAGACTACATGGAAGCTGTGGTAGAGATATTTTAAATGGAAATCTATTTCCTCTCTCCACTTAGTTTTTTTTTAATCTCTCTTCTCAAAATGTAAAAGTTGAATGTGTTCAGATCACAAGAAAAAATATCCAAAGAATAAAAACCACTTCAAGAACGACTTGCCTTTATTGAATTTAGAATAAATCTTTGTGTTGCTTCAGTTTAAAGAAACAAGCTTTGGGATGCGTAACTGTGAGCATGAGAATAGAAGGAGAGCCTTACATTAAATCAACTTGGAAATGCTGTGTTGATAATCAGTTCCTTCAGTATGCAAACCTCTGAGTTAGTATTACCTGTTTAACCTTATTTAGTTAGATAAAATGGAAAAGAGTTAAGACTGCTCTTTAGTTCCATTTAAATTACCACATAAAAGAATGCTTATAAAGTCAGTTATCATTTTGAGAAATTTTTCTAATAACTCAGACACTACACATCTACATAGGCATATAGTAGAGTTTATGGCAGAGTTCACACTAATAAAAAAAAAACTTCTGGACTTCAGAGAATAGGATATAAAGATACTGGAAAATCTTAAATTATATTCCCCACTGTGTTGTAAGATAGCACTGTTTGATACTATTATTGCTAGAAATGACTAATATTAATATGTGTGTGTGTATTTTATTTTTTTTAAAGCGAAATTTTTACTATAGGGCATGTGCACTCACCAGAGAGACAGAGAGAGAAAGAGGGACAGAAAGTGATGGGGGGATAGTCATGCCACAACTGCTTCTCCTCCATTCTTTTCTCTGGATCTTGGTTACGCGTGCGTAAGTGCCTGGTGGGAGTTTTAAGCTGCCAGGTCTGGGACTCAAACCATGGCTGACTATGTGGGAGTCCAGTGACATAACTATTACACCATCTGCTGGTCTCTATTTAATATATTTTTAAAACACAAGCACATAACAGAGTATAACGCAATATTCAGAAGAAATAGTCATAAACGATACCCTATTCAGGTTCTGGGTAAAAGAACTCATAATCTAAAGATCTGTATAATTATATTTCTGTAGTTTTGTAATTTGGGGGTGCATGTAATTAAAGTATGTGGACCTCTTTCCTAAACTTCAGACTCCTAACTGCCTACTCAACATAGTCACTGTGGTGTTCAATAGGCACGAAACCTAAAGGGTCCAAACTGAACTTTGGATATTTCCCCAAACTTCTCCCACAGTGTTTTTCATTTCAGTGAGTGGTTACTTTCTTCTTTCAGTTACTCCAGGCAGAAATCTTGGGACCATCACTGCTACTTTTTTTTTTTTTTTCCCTCTTATAGTCCATAGCTTGTCTAAATCAAATGCTGTTAAGTTTAGCTTCTCTTTTCTGGATTATTACAATAGAGTCCTTATTGATCCTTCTGTTAGAGTCCCTGCTCTTCTTCAGACTCCTCTGAACATAGTAGCCAGAATGATTCTCTATAATATGAGTCAGAGCCTCAGGGACCTTGCACTTGTTTTCTTTCTTTGGAATGCTTGTTCCAAGAAAATGAAGAAAATGACGTTCTTCAATTTGAATGAAGAACTTCATTCAAATGTCACCTTCTCAGTGTGGTCTTTCATTCTATTAACATTCATATGCACGTACCCTGAATTTAGTTTTTCTTTCTCAATACTTTACTGTAGATATACTGTGTATTTTCCTTAATTGTTTTACTTATTGTTTGTTTTCCCCACTAGTTTTAAACTCTGTAGGCAAAGGTCTTGCCTATTTTGTTTATTGCTGTATCCGCAATGCCTAGGACAGTGCTTGACATAAACATTGCCTAAATGTTGATATTTTATACTTTGTGTGAAAGAATGAACAATGTGACGAAGAGTAGGTATGTTTCTAAATATATCATGCTTAATAAACTTTTGTTCTTGAGGTATAAACCTTTGTGCCCTGCTGGAATTAAAAGTTTTCTTCTCCCTGGGAACCAGCAGTTAGCATAATGGCTATGTCGCTGGACTCCCACGTAGTTGACCGCGGTTCACGTCCCGGACCCGGTGGCTTAAAACTCACGCCGGGCGCATGTGCGTGCGTGCCCAAGATCCCGAGAGGAGAATGGAGGAGAAGGGATTGCGGCGTGACCATCCCCCCTGGGGGGTGATTTCTCGCTTTCTGTCTCTATGTCTCTCTCTGTCTGTCTGGCGAGCGCACACGCCTTACAGTGAAAATCTCTCAAAAAAAAAAAAAAAGTTTTCTTCTCCCTTTGCTTTTCTTTGTTGCGTTTTCTCTTTCAACCAAGGAAGTGAAAACAAAGCTTAAATCTACATCAGTTACTATGTTATCTTTCTTCAGAAATTCAATGCTTATCCTTTAAAATTTTTAAAAAATAATTATTTTATTTTATTTTATTTTATTTATTCATTCATTTATTTTAACTTGACCAGAGAGAGATACAGAAAGAGGGAAAGTGAGAAAACAAGCCACGAGTTCTGGGACTTGAACCATGTTCAGTGATGTGGAACTGTCCAGCACCTTAAATACTACACCAGCTGCTGGTCCCCTCAATGCCTATCTTTTCTGAATGAGAACTCAGTCTTTTTAAAGTTGATTTCATAGAAGTGAGTAGAGAGAAGAAAGATAGTTATCAGAGTTCTAGTGTTCTATTACACAGCAGATGAATATAGTTAACAGTTATATTTGTACATTTCAAAATAGCTACACCGAATTATCCTAAATGTTCTCAGCACACACACACAAAATAAATATACGAGGTGAAGGTTATGCTACTTACTCTAATTTGATCATTGTGCATTACATACATGTATCAAAATGTCACATTACACCCCACAAATATGTGTTATGGTTTGCATAAAGGCTCATTCCTTCAAAGGTTCAGGTTCTGGAATTTGAATGTGTCAGCAAAAATCATGTGTTAGGACTTTATTGTATTGAAAAGATGTTAAGTGAAAAGTTAGTTCTAACCTTCATGGTGTCTCAGGATGGGGCCTTAGGATGTAGTAGCGTTTCCAGGGTGGGCCCGCTTAACTGAGTTCCAGTGGATTTATAAGCGGAAGGAATGTGACCAGAACAAGAGAGAAACTCGTGGATATAGAACATGCTAAAAATTTTACCTTCTATCATTTTGTGATGCCTTCGAATTTCCAGTTACCAAAATTGTGAGTTCTGAAAATATAAATTTTCTTCATAAATTACTCAGTCTCAGGTATCATGATTTGAAACATAAAAGTGGACTAAGACAGTATATATGATTACTGTGTGTCAATTTAAAAGAAGAAATTAAAAAATTAAGCAGTCTTTTTCTTAATAAAAAATAAGGTAAAGCAAAGTATAGTATGAATTATTTTAAAATATTTTGAAAACAGGCTGGCAGATGTCATGGTGGTTGAGGTCACTAGACTCCCACATGACAGAGAGAGAGAGAGAGAGAGAGCGAGAGCGCAAGCCATCAGATCCAGGACTCAGACTGCAGTTGGCCATGTGGTAGTCCAGCATCCTTAACTGCCATGCCACCCACTGGCCCCTTGAAAACTAAATTCTAAAAATACTCCTCAAAATTCCATACCTTATCTCTTGTCTCATTTAAAATTGTTGTAAATAAAGTCAGTATAATAAATGAACATCTTCTTGTGACTTCTTCCCCTTTGTATTAGTAAAGAAATCTGAATATTGTACACTTCCAAAATAGCAAGAAGAGGGAATATTTAATGTTTCCAACACAAAATAATGATAAATGCTTGAAGTAATCAATATGCTGATTATCTTGATTTGGCCAGTACACATTATATTCATTACTGAATAATCACATTTCATAAATAGGTACAACTTTAACTTGTAAATTAATTTAAAAAATCGGTGAGTTCTAAAAAATATTTCTTGGATTTTTACTTTTATCTTTTCCCCTTTAAAGATTCTTATAAGTTTTATTTGGTGTTTATTTATAAATAGTTAATACCTACTCTTGGTACACAATACAAAGATTAAGGAAACAGAAAACAGGGGCCAGTAGATGGCATAATGGTTATGGCACTGGTCGTAACTCCTACATGGCTGACTGTGGTTTGAGTCTTGGACCTGGTAGCTTGAAACCCTGGGTGTGTGTGTACATGCTCAAAATCCCAGGAGGAAAGTGGAGGAGAAGGAATTGTGGTGTGGCCATCACCCCTAGTGGGTGATTTCTTATTTTCTCTCTCACTGTTTTTGTTTCTCTCCAGTGAGCGCCCATGCTCTACAGCAAAAACCTTAAGAAAACCCCAAAAGCCAGAAAACAACCAAAACAGGGAATGTAGATCCTTCTCTCTTTATCCATACTCAGCTATCCAATTACACTTGGGAAGAAAAACTGTTAACAGCTCCTTGCTCTTAGATATTTCAATGAAAGGAAATTATTAACAAGCCACATAAAGTATATTTAGTTATTTTATACCTGTACTTTTTTTTTTCAGTTTTGCTAGCGGGCATGTGTACTCGCCAGAGAGAGGACAGAGACAGAAAGAGGGAATGTGAGAAAGCACCCCTCATGGGGGATGGGCACATCACAATCCTTTCTTTTCCATTTCTCCTTTGGGGATTTTGGGATACATGCACATGAGCCTGGAGTGTTTTCCAAGCTGAGTCCAATACTTGAAATGCATGGTTAGCTATGTGGGGTCCAGCCATGTTAATCACCATGCCAGTATCTGACCCTACACCTATACTTTTTTAAAATACAAATTGGGGCCAGCAGGTGGCATGGTGATTAAGGTGCTGGACTCCCACATGACCAGTCATGGTTTGAGTCCCAGACCTGGTGACTTGCTTTCTCACTTTCCCTCTTTGTCTGGTGAGGGCATGTGACTTGTAGGAAATTAAAAAAATAATAGCAATGATAAAATTAATTAAATAAAAATGCATATTTGTTCTTACATCTACTTTCACTTTTTCCTTAAATGTATATGAAAGGAATTTAAAAAGTCCATGGCAAGTACATATTATGACAAAAACTATGCATGAATTTCAAAAATTTTTTTCACTGAAATAAACTGGCATTTTAATAAACTGACCATGGTTTGAGTCCTGGAAGCTTGCTTTCTCACTTTCCCTCTTTCTCTCTCTCTGTTCAAATTAAAAAAAAAATGTTAAAAAAGAAAAATGTGCTTCAATATTAAAGAAACTGGAATTTGAAGATTCAAATGGGTTTAGTGAATCTGACACTTCTACTGAAATTATACTAATTTTAAGAAAACTTTACAAATTCTGATTTTATTTTTGTCAAACATTCTTAATACTACTTATCCAAATGTTCACATTCCATTAGATACAGTTTTATCAACATGCTTAATTATATAGCCTATATA